AACCAAGCCTCCTGCTTGCTCCAGCTCCGTGGCTGCTGGCCGCCATCCTGGTTGGGGTAATTTGCATATAGTCGCTCTGATTGGCTGGTGGGCATGGCTTAAGACGTAGCAAGGGTATGGTCAATTTGCATCTTGTCTTTTATTAGTGTAGACTAGTACTGGAAGCCCAGCGCATGAAATTCATGTGCGGGTACAGAACCTAGGCTGTACCAAACTGTTGAGAATTATGATTATGGTATTAAATCATAATTTAATCTTCCCCAGCTGCTCGCAGCCGGCCCCGCCCCCTGCCGCCACCCACCCCGGGTTCCCTGTTCACCATCGGGTGAGCGGTGCTTGACAATTGGGGGAAGGGACCAAAAGGTCAGTTGTTCCCATCTGCTCACCAGCCCTGACCCCACAGCAGGTGACCATCAGGCAATCAGAGCCTGACGGCCGGGAAAGAAAGGTGGTCAGTGTACCTCACAGTGACTGGTCCAGTGGTTGTTCTGGACATTCTGCCATTAGGGTCAATTTGCATATTACCCTTTTATTATATAGGATAGAGGCATGGTGCACGGTCCAGGTTGCAGCCTCGATCCCCAGTGTGGAGAGTGTAGGAGGCAGCCAATTGATGATTCTCTCTCATTATTGTTGTTTCTATCTCCCTCTCCCTCTCCCTTCCTCTCTAAAATCAATAAAAATATCTTAAGTAAATAAATAAATATAATTTTAAAAATCCAGAATTTTTGGATCACTGTAAGGATATTTGTTGACAATTAACTAAGATTCCATTGAAATTTTTTATAAAGACAGACTCAAAAGAAGTGATACTGTACTTCTGTAGTCTACATCTTCTTTGTCCATTAGAAATATGATCTTTGCCCTCTTATTCTCATTCAAGATCTGAATTTAGTTACATTTTGCCTTCCATATATTCTGCTTCTGCTTAAATAACCTCCAATTCCTGTTTCACTTTAATATGTTTGCATACTATTTACAGTCTTTATAAATGTTCTGAAGCTTCTACTTAATCCATTTTTAGTTATTCTGTTAGTTTTTATTTTGCGATGCTACAATCTCTAATTTTATGGTATCCTTTTACCTCAAACACACCAGAAAATAGTAGATAGTAAAGTAGTGTGGAAAGAGCAAAAATGCTCTGACACTGGCACTAATACACTGTAATACAATCATTCTCAATAACATATCTGCTGAGTCAATTGCTCAAAACGCAAATAAACTATAGCTCTTCTTTTCCTTTATAGAAAGTACAATTTAAAACCTTTCTCCAAGAGGGAAGTCTAGGGTGTTGGTAATATTCTTTTTCTTAACCTAGGTGGTAGTTACAAGGGTGTTTTCATTTCTGACAATTCACTGAGCTATACATTTTTTGTTTGTGCACTTTTTTGTATGCATGTTATGTCCCAGAATAAAAAAATGTCCCAAGAGAGTTTATTATATAAAAACCTCTAAATGGGCCAGGAAGAAAAAACGAGATTAGAAAACTAGAAGAATCCAGAAATTATGAAAGCAGAGGCAATACTGGTTCAATCTGTTGATCATTAGTAACACTGAATGTCTTTGTATAAATTATTATACACATACAGCTTCCACAAATAATATTTTAAATGCCAAAGGAGCATATAATGTAAATAATCTTCTTAGAAAAGAATATATGTAATAGTAAATAGAAGAAATGTTTCTTTGCTTAGTTACATCTTAGCAGGATATTTATTCAACTTTAAATTTTTCAAAACTGATGTCCATTGTAATAAATAAAACATACCTTAAATTAAAAGAAAAACACTTTGCCTTAAGCCTTTTGGTAAGATAGCTTCTTAGAAATAACTTTGCAAAAGGCAAAGGAAATTTAAGATATTCCGTTTACTTAAAAAAAAAACACAACTATAACTCTCCCTTATCTACAAAGGCCAATTTACACACACGAAAATCTGAAAAATGAAAACTCATACAATTAGTTTTATCTCTCATTTTAGAAATAAAACCTCCCAAATAGTTATTCTTTTGAAATATATCAAAGCTGAATTTAAAAGTTTTACTGGGGTGGAAAACCAAGATGGCGGCATAGGTAAACACCAGAAATTGCTGCCTCGCACAACCACTTCAAAAATACAACTAAACAATGGAACGGACATCATCCAGAACCACAGGAAGGCTGGCTGAGTGGAAATTCTACAACTAGAAGGAAAGAGAAAAGCATACCGAGACTCAGAGGAGGTGCGGTGCGGAAGTAAAATACAAAAGGGCGGAGGTGCATGCGGAGAGGGCTGGTGGCTGAGGTCATGGTTGTCTTTTTCAATTGGGAGGGAGTCTCAAGCTCTGAGCTCCAGTTCTGGGCAAGTCTCTGGGGACACAGACTCATTCGGCAGAAACAGGACTGTCTGGCATCGGTTGAAACTCGAGGGCAGCTTTCTCTCGGAGGTGCTCATAGTGATTGCCGGGGCCTCTGAGGGCAGGACTGAGAGCAGCCATAACTGCTCGCTCCACC